TGAATTTTGAAATTGTGACTTGCTTTAGGCCATTCAGTTTGTAACTTGGACTTTGTTATTTGCATATGCTGTCTTGCTTTGAACTAAGCAGTTTTGACAATTTTGAAATGTGCAATTTTTGACTTTTGTGCATTTTCAATATTTTGTTGCAAACATTTTTCATCCTTCTTTGTGAACCGGGAGAAATCCCGTGATTTGCAAAGAGGGCTAACTGATCCCGGCCATTTGCTTTTAATGATGAACCTTATTATCTGTCTGTCTCTTTAAATATTTATCTGCTTCAACTGACTTTTTCTTCTTTTCTTTGCAGATAAAAATTAAATGGAGAGGAATAGCAAAAGATGGAGGATGAAGGATTGAAGACTTAGAAAAAATTAGGATAGTCTTATTTTAAATTTAATTATTGTAACTATTATTATTATAAATACCTTGTAAATGAATACTTGTATTTACATAACAATTTGTAACAAATATTTAAAGATGAAATAAAAATTCTTTTTATCCAATTAATTCTTTTTATCCTTTTCAATTATTTATTTTATTATTTATAATTCTAAAGTTATAATAAATGGAAATAAATTCCAATTATCTAAACTCAGAATAATAAACAATTAAATAAACAATGTTTCAGCATCGATCAACTAATAAACCTGGCGCTTCACAAATCCAAAGCAAAGCACAGTCAATCACAACAACTGCCCAGACGTATCTTCCTTTTACTGATTTTAACCAAACATTGCAAATCCAATCCAAATGCATCTTTTCACTGATTTAGTCATACAATGCGAACTCAATCCAAATGTTTCAATCCGCATCCCAGCATAACTTGAAAAGCACTGTAGAATTAAATCTTTCTGAGGAACCGCGCATAAAAAAACCCTAATTCCTGATTAAATGCCAAAGAAGCGTTCGCCTGATCGAAGCTGAACCAAAATCAACCAAATCCCTAAGCAAACTGTGTGAACTGTTCTAGGACCATGAAAATCAATAAAACCCTAATTTTATCTGACTGACGAGAAAAGTCTATTTGACCGATTCTTGAGCCAGTTTGAAAAATCAGGAAACGCCTGAAGCTGTGATTTCTTTGAGGAAAAATGCGAGGGCAAATTTTGGGGTACAACACCATTCCCTGCTAAGACATCTCAAAATTTTGTTAGTAGCAACAGAATTAGAAATTACATGACCAAGTGTATGCAAGCGATTCATTAGATGAGAAAACCTCTTTTGCATGTCGGCGATGGTTTCACCTTGCTCCATGCGAAAGAGATCAAACTCTTGCGTCAAAGTATTGATTCTAGCCAATTTTACATCGTTTGTGCCCTCATGGGTGACTTGCAAAGCGTCCCACATTTCCTTAGCCGTAGCACAATGTGAGACCCGAAAATACTCATAAGCTCCTAGAGCTGCTATGAGAATGTTTCTTGCTTTCCAGTCACATGCATAATTTTTCTCATCTTTTTCATCCCATTGTGCTTCCGGTTTAGGAACGGTTATCCCGGCAGTATTTTGCATAGTTATTGCAACTAGCCCATCTTGGATAACCTTCCATATTTTCCTATCAACATACGTGATATGGACACGCATACAATATTTCTAATAGCTATAATTTTCACCTGTGAAAACGGGTGCTCTATTGTACGCCCCTTTTAGATCACAATCCATTTCTAGAAGTTTTATGTGAAGCATTGGATAAACCAGTGCTTTGATACCACTTGTTAGACGATGTGATGGATCTAGAAGGGGGGGGGGGGGGGGGGTTGAATAGATCCCTTTAAAAATTTTGCGCGTTTTGTAAAATTGTTGTTATCAGAGAGCGACAACCCTGAATCTGATCGTCTAAACTTTACGTATTAGAAAGATCGGATATGCGAACCAATTTGATGAAAATGATGAGAATAGAATCACAATTAAAAATGAATATGATGAATCGCTTTAGCAAGTTTAACAAGGTGTAAGTTATTACCAATTAGTTACGAAGAAGATAAAGCAAATTTATGAGTTGTAAATTCACCAAACACTTGGTGTACGTACTACACAAGGTTTGGTTATACTCAAATTGTAGTGATTATAGAGATTCGAATGAATGCTATATGAGTTTTAAATTTTAGTTTATCACTACAATTATTTTGTATGAATGAGACAATTGATAACTTACAAATTTAAGCAAATAGAAATCAAATGCAGAAAACTAAAATGGACACGGTATTTGTTAAGGCAGTTCACCCTGTCGTCCTCGCGTGGGCTACTCTGCCCCCAATTCTAGAATCTAGAATTAGGATATGAAATTAATTTTGCAAAGTTTATAATAGAAGATACAATCACCACAATCCAAAGTCACTTGATGAATCTTATATGTTGCACTCCTCTTCCCTTGATTCCAGATGAATCAAGTATGCCAAATCTTGAACAAAAACCCCTTCTACCTTGAATGATTTTGTACTCAAGAAAATTGGCCTCAAATCCTTCTTCACAATCCTCCGGTTACCGCTACCCGATTGAACACTCCACGGTCTTCCAATCCCTTAGCTCGACTGAATTCAATGAAGCAAAGATTTGTGATAACCCCCCCCCCCCCCCAATTTTAGAGGACAAAACCCCAATGGTTTTATTCAAGAAAAACCCCACAAAGATCTCTACCCAAATCTAAAATTGCACTTTCAATTCGGACGTTATCAACACAATCCCAAGAACTTGATCAACAAAAATGATTGTGTATAGTTGTTGATAATTGATGAGAGGTTGAAGATGAAGAGAACTTCTGTGTATATCTTTCACTTTTTCTTGTTATTTGTAAAACAGAGGCCAAAAAGATATTTATAAGTTATTCCCATGATGTAACAACATAGCAGAAAAATGAGACAATTTAGCGATGCGTCAACTCATGCAGGGTATACAGAAGGTGTGCGCCTTCCCGAGCGAGAGAGGTTGAAATTCCTTCAGTTATGCGTCGACTCATTGTTTGATGTGCCGACTCATGTTTTCCCAGAACTATGCGTCGACGCATAGAGAAGGCGTGCGCCTTCCCGGATGTTTCCAAGCCAAAATCTTCTTCTCATGAGCCCGACCTAAGGTTCTATGAGCCGACTCATGTAGTCTGTTTTGAGATAAATGCTTGTCTTTGATGTTTCTCACTTGCACCTGTTTGAAGCAAGACATATTTGCACATATAGGTTTTTAACAATCATTAAAATTCAGTTCTTTCACTTTTGCCCTCACATGAAGAACCTCGATGCCTGGCTGAACACCATAAGATGACAACAATAAAAGCATGCCAAAAAACATATACCATACTATACTCTGATGAACAAAGTTGTTGGTTGCATCGAGAATTGTTTACGTTGGATGGAGAGATCAATTACAAATAGAGGAGAAACCGTCAAATGAGTACATGCAATGGTATCACTCACTTCCACATAGATATGCATCGTACGAACAATTTCTCACTGACCCTTGTCAAAATCAGTATGCCCCTACTCAGGCAAGTGGCTCTCAACAATCTCACCACTCACAACATTCTCAACCTCCTCATCCCCAATCTTTCCAACAACAAACGCATATCCCCACTTTTCCCAACATCAAACACCCATTCCCCGTTATCCTGAACAACAAACTTCTAACCCTCATTTTTCTCAGCTACAAACTCCTGCCCCTTATTTTTACCAAAATCAAATCTTTAACACCCAATACCCGCAATCTCACTCCCAACCAAATTACATTCATGAATCCCAACAACCAGAAATATATCATAGGCCAACTACACAATTCACACCCATCATGCGACCAAACTTCGATTCCCCCTCCTCCCAACATAACCCTACAACGCCTTATGTTCCAACCATGTGTTCGCCACAACAACTGCAATATAATTTTGGCGAGGATCTTAACGTCAGTGATTATGATTTACTGGAAAGCATTTGGTCTCCTCCGCAAGTTACAATTCCAAGTCAAGAAAATCCTCCAACATCAGATGCAACACAAGAAAATCCTCCAACAACATAGACCCAACAACAATATGGTTTTGGTCATCGTGCTCCACGACCGCGTTATTATTTTATCGGTACTCGTTTAGGACCTGATCATCAATATTAAATATAGTAATTGTGAAAATTTATTATTTAATAAAAAAATTATTATTTAATTATAATTGTTAAATAGTTATTTTAAGTTTATAATTATTTAAGTTTTTAAATTAATATTTTATTAATTAATTTTATAATTAAATAGTTTATTAAATTATTTATAATTAATAATAAAATTAAATAATAAAAATAATTAATATAACTAAAGAAAATATAGAAAACAAAAAAAAAAATTCAGCCCTTTCACGCTATTTCAAATGGCGAGAGTCCTTGCAGTGTCTGTGGTCCCACGTTCGCGCCATTTGAAATGGCGTGAACTCCCTGGATGTGGCACTCTGGGAAATAATTTTCAGTATGTGGCATTGCAGGAATTATGTTTCAAAACCGTGGTATTCTGGGGAAAATTCAAAAATATATGTATGCGGTTCAGTTTGATTTGAATTTGTTTTGAAAGATTTATCTGAAATTCGATTCGAACCGACCCATTTCAATTTTTTACAATTTTCAATTTTTTAGATCAATTTTCAATCTTTTATTTAAATTGTTTTGGATTTGAACACCCCTGACTAATACTATTATTTTGTATTCCAAATCAATCAACCAGAACCAAAACCAAAACCACAGTCAAAGCAATACTACAGTTTAGGAAGTAGCTTGGAAGAATCATTTGTTAAGTGGCGGTCCCCTTTGTTATCACAAAGTCAAGCTAACATTTGAAAAACAACCAAAAAAGACAATACTTTAACCAAACTTATCAACTATTGATAACTCCAAAACACCAAAACGATGCTTCCTCTCTCCATCTTGGAACATGTATAGAACTCACCTTTTCATTTCTTCTTTAAATACCATTCACTCCTTATTTTCCACTCAACTCATTCTTCTCTCTCCATTCCAAATCTACAACACTCCATTCCAAGCATGGAACAAACCTTTGCCTCGTCCACCTTCAGTTTTTGGTCCTCAAACATCCTAGATACTCAAAATTGCAATAACATGGCACAAACATCTTTCTCTAAACCTCCAAGATCATCCTCCAATCTAAGCAACCGTAAACCCTCTTTGATGAACATCAAAATTCCTTCTATTACCAAACCTCTCCCACAACCAAACATTGTCAAAAGTGACAGCAAAGAAGACAATAAGCACTATAGAGGTGTTAGAAGAAGACCATGGGGGAAATTTGCTGCTGAAATCCGAGACCCTAATAGAAAAGGGTCAAGAGTGTGGCTTGGTACCTTTGATACTGCCATAGAAGCTGCAAAAGCTTATGATAAAGCTGCTTTTAGGATGAGAGGAAGTAAGGCGATATTGAATTTTCCTCTAGATGTTGCCACTGATGAATCTGCAGAAGAATCATCACTTTTTTCTAGCTCAAACTACATCAAAGTTGGTGAGAAAAGAGAAAGAGATGAAGGAGATTACGTTGAAATTGAGATGAAAAGTAGTAATAATAACAAGCATGTGAAGAAAGAAGAAGGGGTTTCGGTTTCAGTTTCAGTTTCAGGTGCAGGAACAGTTTGTCCTTTGACTCCTTCATGTTGGAAAGGGTTTTGGGATACTGATGTTACTGGAACTATCTTTAGTGTACCTCCTTTGTCACCCTTATCTCCAATTATGGGATGTTGAGATTAACTCATTATGGAGAGGAACATATATATGGAGAGTTTTAGGGTGATGCTAGGGGTGCTAATAGTATATTTTTGAAGGTGAATATTAGACATATGTTGGCTGGTTTTATAGTGTGTGTATATATAGGAAGTGTGAAGCTAGTGCTTAATTCTTTAATTCTGTTCTATATGTTCATTTGGTCCATGAATATTGAAATTTGTTCATTCGTTTATTGGAGAAGTTAAACATGTTGTCTATGAGATTAAAAAGTTAAAACTCTGCATTTTATTATTTTTTGCAAAGACACTTAGCAAACCCAAACCCATGAGCATTTGGATGATATGAGAAGAGTTTGTTCGAGTTTAACCTCAGATCTTAGATTTGAATTTAACATTCGACAATACTATTGAGATTAATCTCTTCAGTTGTGTGTATAAGATATCCGATTTATAAAAAAACAAAGACACTAGAGATACCATGAATATGATATGCCGAACTTATTACAAATCACAAGGAGCTCCTAATCAAAAAGGAGCCATCAGCAGAACTTGCTGATTATCAACACAAGACATACTCGAAAGAAACAGCAAAATATTGATATAAAGCAAAACATCCTCTTAGTGTTTTTCATGTCAAATTATTTTGTTTAAGTTGTTAAGACACTCTACAGTTATTAGAAGCATTTTTAATATAAATCTTACAATAAAATGAAGAGGTAAATGGTTATGCAATATAAAATAGTTTTATACTATTATTCAATAAGAATACATCGTTCAGGCGTGTTATATCAATAATTTAAAAATTATAGTCTGATTTGGTGGATTACATGATTGTGATTGGTTGACAATGTAAAATTAATTTACACCACTAAGGCATTACCCTTTTTCTCTAAAAAAGTTAAATGATTATGCACTAACAATATAAAATATATAATAATTTAAGGTGTTAAGGTGTTCATCATCATCATCATTATCATCCCTTGAATTTCTAAATCTTTCTCAATCATTTGGCGTTGTATGTGGAAATGTGCTCAGTGTTCCCACCATGTCTCTAATTTGATGGCAAATTTGCAATAACCACAAGTTACGGTTACCACAACGGCTAGAAACTTTGAATAAAGATGTGAGGAACATCTCTGATCCGAATGACCATGCAATCTTTTATCATGAAGTTCCTATCTAGCCATGGAGATTGAGTATTTCATACTAGGGTGTGGAGATACCAAACCAGTCAAGAAACTAACAACATCCTCAAGAGCCTCTTAATGTCCCTCTAAAAGAAACCAGGTGTTATCCAGGAAGATAATTCACGTCTGAAATAGGTCAAAGACAAAGAGGCAGTGTGGCAAGTAGGTTTCTCTACTTGGGAATCTCTGTGATCGAATCCTTAGTGTTCACTCGAGCTCTGGAAGACACAGTTCTTCCCAACTAAGAACCTCTATGTTCGAAAGGAGGCACAAAAGTGTCATCATAATTAAACTAGAGAAATCATTGTGGGCCGACAATCCAAGGTTTTTGGTGGCGCACACCATGATCAAAGGAGTGTTTATCTAAGTTTTGTTTACGAGTTGGTTTTGAAATATATATATATATATATATATATATATATATATATATATATATATATATATATATATATATATATATATATATATATATATATATATATATATATATATATATATATATATATATATATACTTTATATTTTAAAAATATTAAAAAAATAATATAATTTATATACTAATTGAAGGTGACGACTAAATATTTTAAGTCAGGTGATACTTTATACTTCATATTTGATAGAAACAAAGATGATAAAACCTAAATATTTCCCCACTCAATTTCACCTCCACACACTAGTTTTATTTTATTTTTTTGCAAAATTTGTTGAAAAAGAATTACAAGAATGAGTAGTGTGGGAAAGTCCCACATTGATTATGAATGTGGAGACTTGAACATTTATAAGTGGGAGAATCCACTCACCTGACACCTTAAAGTTTTGGGTGAGTATGTGGTGTGTCTCTCGCAAAGATGTGTTCCTCAAAAAAAGGAAAGTCACCAAAAAGTAAAAGTGCTCCTCGTTTGACCGTCCTAAATTGTGTAACACCCTTATGAAATCCCACGAATAATATGACTAGTAAATCAGAGTATTGCACCAAAAGAGTGTCACATCTTCATATAAAACATCATACATGCATATCTTACTCCGTAACACGGGTTTTCAAAAATTAAAATACTTATCTCTTTGAAAATATACTCATGAAACTTCAACACATCGCAACTGAAATATTGTCTCAAACATCTTTATTAAATACTTCAAATGAAATACCATCACACTTCATAGTTCATAAATTAAACTTCAAAACATCTTAAAACGAAATAAAGAATTCCAAAGACATCGATGTTACATATCAGAGCAAGAACTTTTAAAATCAACAGAAATAAACAATGCACTCTGAAGCTATCATCTAAGCTTCGATGAACTATTCTTAATCATATGCAAGTTACCCACGTATAGATACAACGTTTCTAAGTAGAAAGGGTGAGTAACCATAAATTATTATAAAATATATATGGAATAGATATAGCACTACAACAACAAATCATCATGGACTCCACATAACATCATATTTCATATATTATACTCACACCTTTGCATCAACAATAGGAATAAATTATATCAATATATCATCACATAATAATAATCAACAAGCTTCACAAAATCACACGTCATCAACATCACTTAATCAACCATTATGCAATGCCACATATAATACAATGCAACGTCATTGACTCATGCATGTGTTGCCAAAACTTCACCGATGACTCAATCATCATTTCTTCAAAGATCCCCACCATAAGATCGATTCCCGCTTAGAACCAGAGCACATCATAATATTACACTCAATTCACACTATGGGATTGAGGTTACCACTAGACTAACGTCCTATAAACATCATTGGTCCAATCGTCCTAACAACATCACTGGACCAATGTCCTAACATATGTCATGAATGCATGATGCATAACAACACAATAAAACATGACCACTACTAGTCAAAACGCACCATTCATTCATGTAACCATCAGAATATCATCAGATATATCCTATATATACATGGCATCATCACAACATCATCATATCATCATAACAACATTATAGTATCATTATAGTATTCAACAACTCATCATATAACACATGTCATTATAATCCATCACAAAGAAGTATAATTTCATCATAGAATAGGTACTGGAAATAAAAATACTATTACTCATTTTATTCCACCTAATTATAGTTCATTTTTTTAGTTATCCAACGCTTCAAACGACACACCAAACGGAGTCTAAAAACTCAAGTTACGACACTTTGAAGATTCTGCCATTCGTCTCTCACCTGAGGCTTGCCTGACGAAGCAGCTTACTCGCCTGAGGCTGGGGAGAAGAGTCTTCTCCATACAAAATTACAGGAGCTTGTTTTTCTTCTACTTCCTTTGCTCGGCGAGATCACTTTCGCCTCCCCTTTGCCCGACGAAGCTGAGGCGAGTCACCTTTCTCCATACAAATTCTAGGGGCTTTGTTCCCCTTCCACCCATTCCTTTCGCTCCTCTCTCTCCCGGTGCATCATAGGTGAGACACCTTCGCCCAAAGAAGCATCTTGCTCACCCGGCGAGACACGTGTGTTAGCAACATGTTGTTGCATTTTCTACACAACAGTCCTAATATTTCTTGCGATTTCACCATATAACAGACCCAAAATTCACATAATTCATCATAATTTCACAACATCATAATAACACATCATAATAAGCTTCACACACATCATTTCACAATATTAAGTTCATCACAATCATCATGCTATCAAATTCATCATAAAAACCCCAAATAACCTACATACATATAAACCTATATCAATCATAATAACAAGGACAACTCCCTTACCTTAGATTATAGCTTTGATCTTCTTCTTTGTATTCTACCAAAAATCCCATTTCATTCCTCGTGCCCTAGCTCTGCTGTGTTCTTCCAACTCTTTTCACGATCGCACATAACGACACATTTTTCCATCTATTCCTTGTTTAACCTTTGGACCCTTTCTATGGTCTTCCCATCTTACCCTCACTAATCACTTCACCAATTACTATCTCGTACTTATTATTTCTATACCTCATATTATTATTATCTCTATTTTTCTCCAACTAAAATAATTCTAAATACATATTCTAATAATCTAAAATTATTTAAACCCCTCAATATCACTTAATTTCTACTATGCCCCCACATTACATCACATCACACGTTATATTCATCAATCATCACATATATTCACAAATACATCACAAATACTCATCATAAAGTAATTAAATAATTAAATAAATAAATAAATAATCTAATTATTTTCGGGGCGTTACAAATTGCGCTAGCAAATGGTTGATATTTCTTATTGGGTAGGAGGTGGCTCGTTGAGAAAATATTCCTTATTGGGTAGGAGGTGGCTCATATCAACAACAATATAGATGTATGTGGAAGATTAAAAACCATGAACTTCAGTCTTCACAATTTCATCAAAAATGAACTAGTCAGACAAAACATTTTCTAATATTAAGATATAACTGCAAACCCATTAGCTTTTTATTTTTTAAATAGAACATTCATTTCACATAACAAGGTTTATTGACCAACAAAAGAGATTACATGTGCAGTTTTCTAATAGTAACAAAGTATAGGTACTATAAAGGGAGAATTAACACAGAAGTAGGGATGGCAAACAAGCATAACCACACCATTTAGACCTGCTCCGCAAAAGCCTGAAAAAACGGGACGGGGCAGATATATTTGAGGACGAGAGCCTGAAACCTATATCTGCTCCACACAAAAGTGAGTGTGGGTCAGAGAAAATCTACAGACACTGTAACTTTTAAATCAAAAAATACAAAATTTTATGTTAAAACTCGTGCCCACAAAAACCTACAAAAAAATGGGGCAAAGCAGGAATATTAGAGAATAAGGACCTAAATT